TTTGTCAACAAGAGAAATTCTTTACAATCAAAAAAATTCTTTATTGTAAAATTTTCATGGACTGGTGTTCACACTTAAAATGTACTACTTAAAGGTTGAACAATCATTTTAAATTTTCAATGTTTTCAATTTGTATACTGGTATTCATTTTTACTCTATCAAACAAGGAAAAAGCTAACTACAAAAGATGGATATTATCGCAGATCATTTGAATAAGATTTTTTAAAGTTATGAATGTATAACCAAAACACAAGAACTGATGCACAAGTTATACAAGTTTTTAAAAATAATTTAATACTTATAAGTTTATAAAGATAATAATTATTCAAAGTCYTAGCAGGTTTTTTTATTTCAAGATTTTGTGTTTGAGTTGTATCCATATTCATGTCTTCTCATGTGCAATCATTAAACAAAGAAATGATACTCTAGGGAATGACGTGGTCTTGAGAGTAAGATTCTTTGAGTTTATATCCATATTCATGTGTCTTCTCATGTGCAATCATTAAACAAAGAAATGATACTCTAGGGAATGACATGTGGTCTTGAGAATAAGATTCTTTGTTTGAGTTTATATCCATATTTATGTGTCTTCTCATGTGCAATCATTAAACAAAGAAATGATACTCTAGGGAATGATGTGTGGTTTGAAATGGAAAGACATGCCCAAGCTAAAGACGTCTACTAGACAATGACCATTAAATTAAGTGATGATTTGCAAGTATTCTGGGTAGCCAAACAAGGAAGGCATGTCAACCATATATCTTGTGGAAATTAACAAAAATGGAACAAAAAATGGAAATCTTTCTAAATATCACCAACACGGTCATAATGATGTAATGTGCAAACCGAAGAATTAGAATCTTTGGTTATGAAATCATTTAGTACCCAAAGGCAACAAAACAGTCTACAAAATTAATGACAGCCTTACATCAATCAAACCTTCATCAATTTGATACTAGTAGTATGGTTGCYGCAAGTTCAAATATTATTTAGATTATTACTCTTAAAAGAAATTATGTTGATAGGAAAACAATATTCAAAGAAAAAGTAGATACATAGCTGTTACTTGTTGCAGTTCACATCTGAAGTAGTTCAATGATTGCTGTTTAAGCAAAAGTTTAATTTCATTATTTCAAAATTTTAGGCCATAAGATGATTCTTCTACCTTCACGCAGTCCACACAAAATTACCCTATTAACTTTGATTTCTTTAGTCTTATTTTTCAAAATGTGCTTTTACTTGTGCTGATCTTATCTTAGAAAAGTGAACTTAAACATCTTTCTTTTATACTGAYTTTTTATCAATAAAGAATATCATATTTTGAGATAAATAAGGACAACTGAAAGTAGAAAAAATATTCATTTTGAGCATACTATTACTAAAGACATTTTCACACGAGAAGGTGCTGCAATCTTAACATGTTTTGTACATCAAGTCCTAATCCAATAAACCATCTTAATAATCCTTAGAAAGAAAATGACATTCAACTCTTTCTGGAATGCTYAAAATGCTTTAAAATATTCAGACAAAATTCTGGTACCACCATAATTATCAGAGACATTGTAGAGCTGTAAATTAGAGCAAGGTCATAGTGGCTGTTTTATATTTCAGCACAAAACTGATAAATTAATAAGGATTAATGGATATCTAGCTTGGTGGATGTTTAAGAGCCCTCACTGTTTGAGGTACCTGGGTCTTGTTGCTTCATCACATCRGGAAGTTCTGGTGGACTGGAGAGAGCATCAATGCATAGTGATTCGAATTCTCCATCTGAAAATTGAAAAAGAAATGTTTCAAAACTTTAATCAAAAAACTAATGTTAAGAGAAATTGTAATCAATGTATTAGTCCATGTGCTCCCTGTGTGCAATTCTATCTTTGAATTGGATCCCTGTCTAGCATGCAAGAAAAGACCTTGGTTGAGGTCAGTATTCATAAAAACAAAATGAATCCCACCTAATACACTAATAAAATAAGAAGAAAAACAATAGATTTTCTGAACACATTACATTAACAGAGTGCTATGTAGGTTTTTTCCTGGTTGAGGWACAGTAATGGACCTTGATCACATGGCACCATGTTTATAGACCCCTTGCCGAACATTGGAATGAAGCTTAATTTGGAGGACATAACAATAGATTTCCAATTCTCAGAAGAATGAAATTCTTTTGGTTTGTCCTCCAGACCGAGCTGCTTTGATTCACATGCAAGGGGTCTGTTCTCAAGGAACATAAAGGGCACAAAAAAGCTGTAAACTATCAAAATGATAGCCAAACCAGTAAACTATCAGAAATCCTGCATTCTGATTGGCTATGCCACTACAGGCCTTTTCTGAGTTCCATAAACATGAGGTAATGTGGTCTAGCTTCAGTACAAATAACATATTCTCAACTTTCACATCCCCATAATCCTTTGCGTCTTTGGGGGGTAACCAGAGGGTAAAAACCCACTTATTTTGCTGAAGGCTGATCAGACAATGTTGAAAATACCCTGTTTGGTATCCAGAGATAAAATGAAGAAGTAAAAAACAGAAAAAGATAGAAGCTTGAAGACGTTTAAGGTAAATTTTAAACATTTTTTCGTAAGTCAATACATTTTCTGTAAGACCAAAACTCTTCATAATCTGTACATGCAAAAATGACTTGAAATAAACTGATAATCAGTATTGGCAGATAAAAACAGGTATAATATAAATTCAAGTCATATAGTATAAGTCAATACATTTTCTGTAAGAACAAAAGCTCTTTATCATCTGTACATGCAAAAATAACTTGAAATAAACTGATAATCAGTATTGTACAGATAAAAGCAGGTATAGTATAAATTCAATTAACAAACCTTTTAATTTGGGGACAGTTTTTTGATTGGTTACCCCCCAAAGACCCAAGGCATTATAGGGATGTGAAAGTAGAGAATAGCTTGTAATATAAGGCATTATGAATTAGACCACAATGCACCATGTTCGCTATCTCAGAAAAGGTCTATGGGTCTGTAAGTGATTGCAAACAAACAGATAATGGTATTCTTTGCTTGCAATGCAYGTCACTTCCGGTCATTATGTATGCATATTTCCAGCTGACGGTCAAGCATTCAGCTGGCGTACAAAGCAATGTATTTGTTTACGAGTTGTCAAAAGAAATTTTTGTAAAACATGCCCGATTCCTGTTCAGTTTATGGTTGCTCAAACTGATCGAATAAGAAAAAAGAAAAGGGTTTGTTAGTATAGCTAAAGAAGTGGTTCACAAGGGAGATAGGAAAAGAAAATTTATCAAAAAGACGTCGCCACCGATGGCTGGTTATTCTGACTTAACAGTACTGTATCTTTGAACACCTGTATCTTTCACACAGTCGTGTATGTAGCGATCACTCCGTAAAAGGTATTCAATAATTCTATATTTGTTTGAGTTCGAAATTCAGATGTCATTTCTTTGCTTTGCACGTGTTGGTTTGTGGTAAACACTGAAAGTACGATGATGCTTGTAGAGTATTTGTAGGTTCGTCGCGTCGTATCGAAGTCTGTTTACTAAACAAATTCTACACATGTATATCTTATCTAGGTTGTCCAAGCAATATAAATGACGAAGACGACATAGATTGGGCCCCTACATTGAAGAGYGTTCTTTTGGGCAGATTGATCGTTAACTTGATCCAAGCGAGCCGCCATCTTTGTTTACTTGACCGTCACTTGGAAACCGGAAGCAAAATTTTAGTCAAATTGTCACGTGATTGCAAGCAAAGAATTGAATTTATTGATAACCTGTAACAAAGCATTGTTGTTAGCAACTCTATCGCCCTATACCAGTCTTCAGCTATCAGGGATTCTTAGAAACTCATTCTTTGGGGGCATCCGATTCAAACAAGCAAATTAAACTGGCTTGTAGTTTTGCGGTTACAGCAAAATGAACAAAATGTCAATGCATCTAATTTAGCAAAGTTTTCAAAATGTACAGAAAATATTAACAAATAAACAATAAGAAAAATGGAATATAAAAAGTATGTTTAAACAGTATTTACGTCAAGAAATGTCCAAATATAATAACTTATTGAAATTCCAATGGTTAAATTTCTTTAAGAATCGGAATTATTCACAATTTAATGTCTCTGAACTTTGAAGTATTATTAAACTCACCGTCTTGACGAAAAGAAAGACCAAGTATAGCCGGCGTCTGGGCTTTAGCCGTCTGGTTTGTAAATCCACAGTCACCAAGAGTTTTATTATCATCCAATACTTGATCTCCCTTGAATAATCTCTGTTCTTCAGGAGGTCTCTTAAGTATACCTTCGATCATTTTTTTGACGTCCATGACTGTCGTGCTTTCTTTACAATCAAGAAACACGCTCGTCTTTGAGCGACGCACCATCAAGAAAACCTCCTAAAATGATAGAATTTCAATGTATTAGCAAGGGAAATAGCTGGATTAGGGYCTTAGGTAAAGGAATGGGATATAATGGAGGGAAAATAAGGGGTTAAGTTGCCAAAAAAGTGACAAATATACAAACCATTGCCATTTCAGATGAAGGTTCCCAATATGGCGGATAACACTCAGAGGGTCGGCACTTCATGTATGACCACACGAATGGCACTATGGATTGGTACCCAGACCTCTGGGGATCGAAAGATCAAAAGACTGATAAATAAGAAAAAAGGGGAAAAAATAAAAAAATAGAAGGAAATGAAAGAAAAGGAAAGAACATGAAAGAGAACAAAAAAAGAACATGAAAGGAAAGGGAAGAAAAGAAAAGCAAAGGAAAGGAAAGGAAAAGAAATGAAGTAGGAAAGAAACTAAGAA